AGACGCACAATCTCACAGGATGGCTTCACGCGGACGGGGAGCGGTTGAAGGTGCGGCGTGCCCAACCCAAGTGATGTTTTCTTACAAAGAATGTTTCCTTTACGCTGAATTTAAAATGTATGTTTGCTAGTTGGGGTGTAGTAATGGGGTACTCAGAAATGAGATTACACAGCCTTTCGTCAAAATAGAGCATGAGTAAAAACTACATTTGAGGACTCTGAGGAGGCTGAAGCACCATAGATCTCAACCCCTCTGGTGCGCCTCTGTCCTTCAGGCAAGCACGACGGTCAGCAGGGTTTCATCCGATCATCTTCTTTTGCATGACTTCATTCCCACCGTTGTTATCTGTTTGTTAGGGGTTTCTTCCCCCATTAGCGGTGAGACTACAATACTTTTAATTGCGAAAAAAATAACATTTGAAAAAATAGGCATTCGTGAGTACGCTGCCCAGGTATGGTTTTACTACTGTTCTTAATACCCGATAAAACAATGACAACAGTGACACCTGTTTCACAACGTGATTTCGATGGTTTCAACTAACAAATACTGCTGTAATAGTCGTGAAATCTAAAGTTACGAGTTTTGATTAGTTAACTACATAAGGGTCCACATCTTAGTTTACGTAGTAGAATTACATTAAAGAGCCAAAAAAAATCTGGTACAGCCATGTATAAGAAAATAAACAGATCTGGAACCAATCAGAATACGGCGCTCCGGTTGCCAACGACTATATAAGACAACCAGGGTCTGGCACAGTTGTTTGATCGGTTACTGCTGCTACAATGGCAGGTTATCACGATTTAAGTGAGTTTGAACGTGGTGTAATGGTCGACGCAAGAGAGATGGGGCGTAGTATCTCTGAGGTCGCAATGAAATTTGGATTTTCCCGTACAACAATTTCGCTAGTGTACCGCGAATATCGGAAATCCGGTAAAACATCAAACCTCCGGCATCGCTGGGGCCGGAGAGCAAGAACGTGACCGGCGACGACTGAGGAGAATCATTTCACGTGACATAAGAGCAACCCTTCCGCAAATTGCTGCAGATTTCAACGCTGGGCAGTCAACACGTCTCAGTGTCCGAACCATTCAACGACACATTATCGATGTGGGGTTTCGGAGCCGAAGGCCCACTCGTGAACGCTTGATAACTGCACGACACAAAGCTTTACAACTTGCCTGGGCCCATTAACACCGACATTGGACGGTTTTGATTGGAAACACGTTGTCTGGTCAGCCGAGTCTCGTTCCACCTTGTTTCGAGCCATTTGACTTGTACGAGTATGGCGACCTCATGAATCCATGGATCACGCATATCAATAGCGGACTGTTCAAGCTGGTGAAGGCTCTTGGATGGTATGGGACGTGTGCAGTTGGAGTGATACGGGATTTATGATACGTCTCTGATACGATTCCAACAGGTGACACATACGTAAGCATTCTGTCTGATCACCTGAATCCATTCATGTCGATTGCGTATCTCGACAGACATGTGCAATTCCAGCAAGACAACGTGACAGCCCACACGTTCAGAATTGCTACCAAGTGGGTCAAGGAGCACACTTCTGAAATTAAACTCTTCCACTGGCCACAAAATCCCCGGACATGAACGTTATTGAGCGTATATCGGATGCCTTGCAACGAGCTGTTCAGAAGATATCTCCATCCCCTCGCACTCTTACGAGTTTATGGACATCCCTGCAGAATTCATGGTATCAATTACCTTCAACACTATTTCAGACATTTGTCGAGTTCATGCGACGTCGTTTTGCAGCACTTCTGCGTGCTCGCGAGGGCCCTACACGATATTAGGCAGGTGAAATAGTTTTGTTTGGCTCTTCAGTGTATGTTATTGTCTTCTACTTGTACATGTAATTCCCAATTAGATTTAATTTATTTTGGGGTACGTTTTTCCACGATTCTTCCAGGTAAGTTTCTGAAAAGTTACATTTACGAAGTTAGCAGCTTTAAACTAGTTCTACGAAACCTGCGAGTCCGAAATGAGGATTTTCTCACTAATTCGATTTTTATAACATTACTTGCCTTATTCGTATTAGAAGGGATGTTGTGGTTATAAATAAATCAAAGTAAATTATTTTAGAGTTCATCTCGTATTTGAAAAGAATACACGTTAAAACAAAATCTACATCAGCTTATTCGGGGTGTCTGCTGAGTTTTTTTTTTTTATTTGTAAATATTACATTATGACATTTACACGAAATTCTCCCGAATCGCGATAATAATATTTGGAACTTATGAGCTACTAATAAATCTGCCCAAATTTTACAGAGTCAAATATGAAGACTAGACAATGTACGTATAGTCACCTGCTCAAGAGAGACAATATGAAGTATTTAACATTTCAACAATTAACTTTCACACACTCATTATGTTGCAATATACTTTGCTAGAACATTTCTTGCCTAATGATGTCAACTGATCCCAGTGCGAAGTGGCAATTTTCTCCTGAGGGAATGTTCTCAACTCCAGAAAGAAGGAATCGGTGAGTAAATGGAAGGCTCGAGACGTCACGGGAGCACCAAATGTGAATGAATCCTAAAAATATTCTAGAGAAAATTTTATTTTTTAATTTTCTTGATTTGACCATTTTAAGTGCGAAACCTGTAAATGACACACCCATAGGTGGATTACAATATTTATGTCCCTGGCAGGGACAAGTTAACACTTTTCCAGCAGGGGACATCAAACTCTATAATGGGACTATTCCTCCGCAAATCGCAGCTTGCGCTCTTAGAATCGATAGACAATTTCTCAAATCTTCATTAGGACCTAGACTTGTACGTGGGTGTCAGTCGGCATTAACACACAAGAACAGGTAGAAAGCACCGATTTTATTGATACAGATACTTTCAGAATGTACGAACCTAAGATATATGTACGCAAAAAAAATTAATCGATTTTGAAAGCGAACGATCTTAGTAAATTTTGTGGAACGAGAACATAAGAAACACAGCTCATTATGGGCCCTACACATACTTTTCGTGTAAGTGTTACGCCAGTTTCTCTCCGTATATAAGGCGCGTCCTAACGTAAGATGTAAAATGTAATATGTAAACGTAAGATCGCGGGAAAATCGCGGAAATATTTTAGTATGCTGTAAATAGTTTTGTGTGCGGTATTCTGTTTTCTTTGTATACTTCTGTACACCTTTTTAAACTGTCTTTACCAAGTATGCCAAGTTGCAGGTAAGTGTGAATGTAATGTCTGGGAACAGGAGAACAATTTTGTGTACGGTATATTCGTCCGAATGTGGTGTATCTCTGCGAGATTACGCACATTATATGTGTATAAGAAAGGCGACGTTCGATATTTCCCTGACAAGAATTAGATATAAGAACGCCTTATTTCCATGCCTGCTTTACCCATTTCTTCTAATAACGTGAAAAACGAATCCATTTTATACGAACCACGAGGGATTGTCAAGCAAAAAGGATAAAATCCACTCCTCCGAACTGACAACCAGCAAATGAACTGTGCATGCGCTAAGGCTTAGCGGCTAAGCCTATGTGATTTTATGGCACATGTCCCTAGGTCATGAGAGATCGTATCTCTAAAACCTGCTTCTAAATTGCTTTATTCAGGACATACATACAATCGATATCTGCGATAATTATGATATAATAAAAAATAACTAGCAAAGTAACTTGTAAGATCCTTAATCTCTATTTTGTTCATAGTCGGAAATTTACATTGAAATAGCTTTTCAATATCTTGTGTGCATTATTTATCCCTATTTGCATGCAAGAATGCTAACTTCTAAATCAATTTTAGAAGTGAAAGCAACGATAGTGAATGGCCTAATAGAGCCCTTCCTAATATTGTGGTTATGGTTTCATCCTTCATCGAATTCAAATAGCATATTGCAAAATTTTTTATTATATTTTTAGAATAGGCTGCACTACGTTACTGTTGCATATTCAAGAAAAAAGTACTAATTATACTTTAACTATTAACATTTCATGATTACAATATGCGAATTGAGAATATATCATCGTGACTGTGACATCTCTCCTTCCACCTTTCATCTCTTTCTTTTTGAATAAATATTAAAAGAACACCAAATGTTTGAATCAGAGTAAGTCAGAACCTTTCCGACCTGGTTATGAATGGTGTACTTACAACAATAAGTGAAATTTGAATTGTTTGCATTCAACGGAAACGACACCGTTGGTCTATAGTGACAAAGCTAGCACCCGCGTTTGTTAAAACAAATGAAGTAAAATATACTTTTTGGATTATTGGGTGTTTTGCGAGTGAGTGAAAGTAAAATTTTCAGTGAAATAATAATATACTGGGTGTTCTTTTCAGTGCTTTAAAAACTATAAATAAGCAATAAATATACTTGCTTAGAAAAACCTGGCGCATTTGATCGCTCTGTCAATCCCGCTATAGTTAGAATGTCTGAATCGACTGTTGTAAAGTTACTGCACAATTTAATGTCTTTTTCTGGGAGAAAATTATCGATCGAAATGTTGAGATTTTATCTGCGCTGTAACTGTAACCAGCTCGTGGCGTCTTTGGGAGATTATCATTCGGGGCGGTGCGATTTCAATGCTCGAGCCAGAAGAAAGATACAAGTCCTGTTTTACCCTTAAATTGCATTTAATGTATAGGTCCGAAGAGCCAAAAAATCTGTGAAAGGAACATATTTGTGGTACAAAATGTCAATAGAATTTCTCGAAGTAGTTGATTCTTATGACACTCGGCCTTCCGGGTTCTGACGCCGGAAAGTGTCAAAAGACCTTCTTCCTGAATTATTATGATGGACGTTACAGTACATTTTACGATCAACCAGTTATCAGTAGAGGTACAGTGATAACCTATGGTTCTAGGTATGTTTGTTGTGATTCGTCGTGAGGGTTTGGGTTGGGGTAAATCCGATGGGGCGCTGCGCGGCCTTCGGTGGTGTCGCCCGCCAGTGACGTCACCGCTGCAAGAGAGCATCGGGAGTGTGGTGGGGGTGGGGGTGCGAGAGCCTACCGTGTGCAGAGCGCCCTGCAGCCCTCCGCCTCCCACGTCCTGCTTCTTGTCCGCCTTCTTGGCGGCTCGCTTCGTCTTGGTCTCCAGGAACCTCTGCTTCAGCACCAGCGTCTCCTGGATGTTCTGCTCGCACAGGCCGTTGAAGCTCTGGTCGAAGCGCGGGATGCAATCACTCTGGCGGCGCCGGTAGCTCTCGATGCGCCTTCGCAGGCGGTCCACGACGGCCTGCCGCTTCGGGGGCAGCACGTCCCCCATGGCGCCGGGGGGCGGCTGGTTGCCGCCGGCGGCGGCAGCGGCCGCAGCGGCGGCGGCGGCCGACACGCTCACCTCGGGCCCTGCCGCCCACGGCCCCGCCGGCCCATGCTCCCGGCGCTCGCAGTCACGCACGGTGGCGGTGGCGCGGCCTCACCACGCGCGCATCACACACACACAAACACACGCACGCGCACGCCACGCACGCGCAACGTCAGGTCTTGCGAGCGCGCGCACGCCACAGGAGTTCACCAACACACGGATTGCACGCGCGCGCTCCCGCGAAAACACGGGACGCGGTGGCTGCTGCTACTAGGACACAGTCACACACAGTCCACCACGCTCACCTCGCCTGCCCGGCGAATAGCAGCGACACACAACAGGTTGCAGCGATGCTGGCTAAGCGAAACGTACGCACCAACCTTCATGTCAGCAAACCCCTTCGCGGACAGGTTTTATGGTTAGCTGCAGTTTCTTCCAGGCGGCGATGCCATGTTAGGCGATTTCTGCGACACCTTCCACTCGCACAGTTCAAAGGACTTGTTGACACCCCACTCGCACAGTTTAACGGCTTGCCACAAACACTCGCGCCTTATAATGTTTGTACACTTGTTCGATTCACTTTCGAACGTCTTCTCCGCTTTCTTCACAACCTATACAAACATGAATGTCGTATATCAGATGCGCGTGTGTTAGAAGAGAGGCAGCATTCAATGCACACAACAGCTCCCTCGTCAGCCTCAGACACAAATGACGCATTCGCACCGCCTTTAGTAACTCGGGCGACATCTACTAACAGCACCGCGTACTAATCATCACGTGGTTGAAAATGGCTGCTTCCATACGACTTCAGCGTGCTGTGAAATTAGGAAATGTTCTTCTACGCAGGGAAGCTTATGTTTTGCGCACAAAGGGACATCGCACGTTTATATTACGAAGTCAACATAAAGGTACAGCGACCCGTTTCTTTGTGTATCCATTTTGTGCAGTTTTATGATAGTCCCACTTCCGGCGCCTCCCCTCTCTCCCTTACACTTGGTTTCATTGAATGTTTTTGAAATCTCTTACCCATAATATGATACATCAGATATGTGTGTGATATACATCTTGTATATAAATGCCCCAATTACTTAAAAAAAGAATATGTCAACTAAGTTTCCTTCAATAGTCAGGAAATGCAATACCAGCATACATTGCAACATTTTTTGTGGTGTTGCTAATGATGAATTGTTAGGATACTGCAGTATATAAATAACACATTTCCATGTAAACATATTTTGTTTTAAACTTTTTTTTTTATTATCTTGTACCTATAATGAAGAACTCTTTGCCATTTAAGCAAGTATGTGAGACAAACCGTTCAATTGTTATTACTTTACCCTTTGGCTCAATGTTTTTATGGATTAAAACTCCCATTTCAAATGCATGTTATTTTAAAAAAAATATGAATGGTATATATAGAAATCCTGGTAAATACTGAAAATTTCACATTGTAGTTTGAGGTTAGGTACTCTGCTGCCAATACAATTTTTTCTTTCTACTTGTTTTCATGAAGGAACTTTTTGATAACTCATGATATGCTATATATTTATGAATGTCATAACTACATTATTCATAAGGTGTGCGTGGAATTAATCTTGATTAGGATTGGTGATTGTTTACAATTCAGGTGTGAATGTAAACATTCTTTATAAGTGTCTCTTTCTCGTAATGTGGATGATTCTTCAGTGGCCTTTGAGGAGCAAACAGAAGATGAGAACCAAATTTATAAACCAATTTTTTATTAACAATATTTACATACAACTTAAAATTATGTTTTTACAAGGATTGTATGTAGATTTTAGCTTCTTCCTGAAATTGTTTTTTTTTTATTTTGCTGTCCATCTGATTATGAAAACAGGAAAAGTGATATCCCACATGTATCTTGCATTACCAAACAAACTCTTTAATTTGAATAATGGGTACATATTAGACAGGAGATGTTTTGGTATTTACATTTAGATAAATCACCTTGAAATTGATGTGACAGTAAATTTAAAAACCCTTCATTTACTGAATTAATATTATCTTTCAAAAAGTGTTTTGCGTGTAGTAGTATACAGAAAGTTCCTTTTTTTGTGTATATATTTTTTTAATACTTGAATTGTTGCAATAAAGGTAAAATTGATTTTTAGAATTACACTTTTTATATTAAATTTTAAATTTAAAGTGACAAGTAAAATACAAATATGAAGCCCTTTTTGGGTGGAAATTCATTGATACAAATTTTTTTTTACTCTCAATTGAAAAAAACAGTTTTTCCATGACTTTATTTGCGAAAACCAGGATATAGACATCCAAACAAACATTCCAATCGTTATATCTTTTATTCAATATTACTTTGGAAAATTTATCTCCCATCCATTTAAAACATGAGGGTAAAAACTATCATTTTCTGTGCTATATGCTACTTTGAGTCTAATCTTGTAGTGATCTCCTCATCAATCAGTGTGCAAATATTTAGCACTTTTATCTGAGTGATGTGTTCAAAACTTCCTCTTCTGGTGAAGGGAGAAGGACAACAGTGACGAAATAATAGTGTGAAGCAAAGACCCATCTTTGCTTATGCAACACTGAACAAAGTCCTTAAGCTCATTTTGTTTTGCAAGTTCAGTCCTAAAAGTCCTGATATAAGTCTCCTCAAATGATTAATTGCATCCCTCCTGCAAAACACAGGAAGGGAAGAATGTTGGTGTTTCCTCCAACAATTGCATCCTGGTTCAAACGACCCTCTCTATCTTGAATGGACAATTTAATATGAGTCATGTCATACTTGAGTGGTGTGCCAATGTGTGTGATCTATTCTAATAAAATTTAGAACCATGTTAATGGCTGTGTAGTACCGCAAATTAATTGTGAATTGAAATTTGAGGAATATAAATAGGAAGTATGAATGATTATTGCAAATTAGATGAGTGATGTGAATAAATTTTAGTGTGTATTTAAGATTGAGAGAAATGTG